CTGAAAAAAATTCTAAAACTTGTAAAAAAGATCAAAGGCAGAGCATTTCTAATCATCTGAGAAACAGAGATTCACCCCAGTTCCTGAGATTAACTGTAGATCAATTGTGAAGATTTACCAGACCGCACCACACTCTCTTTCTCACCTTCTCACCTTCTCTTACACACTGCACACAAGATTGGAACTGAAGCTTCTGCTAAGCTTACAAATCAGGAAAGCATGATAAAGTTCAGAACATTAAAATTTTCTTTTCCTCTATAAAAACTAGAGACTGGCAACTTAGGTCAGAGACAGACAGACTTCTGCCAGAGTCTGTCAAAATAATTTCCAGACAGACGCAGTTGCTTCAAATGAACTGCACTTGCATCATTTAAATGAATATAATTCTGTATTTCTGTCCTGTTTTCACTGACAACTGTGCTCTTATTCATTCCTCTGCTGTTTAAAAGAGACCACAGATGAGTTCAAACTCCTAGGGTCAGATTTTTAAAAAAAGCATGTGTCACCTAACAGCTCAGCAGGTCTCTGTATGCTGGAACCATCATCAGTGTGCTTCATTGCTACTAGCCATATGGTCAGTTTCTAACTTAGCATTAATGTTGTGCTCCATCTTCTGTAAAACTGCTGGAAGATCCAGTACAGAAGAAATAATATAATGAGGTACGGGGGAGGTGTCTACTGGGGCGGTCATTGCTTTGTTTAACCAGACCGTTGCTTTCAAGCCAGCATTCAGGCCTCCTTGGATATCTGTATCTAGAGAGTCACCGACCATCACACACTCTGCGGGCTGCACCCCCAGGAGATCGCAACAGTAATGAAATATGGATGGCGCCGGTTTCTCCTCTTTCTGCTCTCCCCCCACAACGATGGCATCGAAGTAGGGCTGGCAGGCGCACGCCTCGATCTTCTCCCTCTGCGTCTGCCGGTCGCCGTTGGTGAGGAGCAGCAGGCGGAGACCTTTCCGCAGTTCGGTGAGCATGGCCCGCGTGTCCTCGGCCAGCGCCAGGTGCTGCAGCCGCGTCGTCTTCCACAGGTAATAGCACTCGGCCGCCAGGTCACGGTTCGCCTCCCCGCCGATAGTCTCCTGGATCGCCTCCTCCCAGTGCGAAATCCGCAGGTCTGTGATGCACATCTTGGCGGGATCGTGGCACTCCTTGAGGAGCTTGGCCTGGACCTTATCGCAGACGGCGCGGGCCTCCCCCTCCCCGTAGCGGTGCTTGGACTGCAGGGCGCTTATCACCTGCAAGGGACGCGGGGGCGCGCGTCAGGGCGCGGCGGGGCCGCGCGGCGCGCTCCCGGGAGCGACCCCCGGCCGCGCGTCAGCAGGGGAGGAAGCGGGACACGCGCGGCGCCGCCGCCGGGCCGGGAGCCGCGGTGGCCGCGGGCCCCGCGTTGGAAAGGGGGAGAAGGGCAGTACCTCCTCGATGGCGCGCCGCCCCGCCGCCGCCGTGTCGATCAGCGTGTTGTCCAGGTCGAAGAACACCGCCTTGACGCCGTGCAGCCCCATGGCGCCGCCTCCCGCCAGAGCCGCCCCGCTCGGACGGCGGAGGGGAGCGCCCCTGACCGCCAGCAGAGCCGCCCGTGCCGGGCACAGCGCGGCAGGGCCGCCCGCCCCTCACGTCAGGCCCGCGGGGCGGGGCCCGGGGCGCGCTGGGCTGCGGGCGGAGCTCGGCGCTCCCAGGCGCCCCCCCAAGAAAAGGAGGGTTGTTAGCGCTCAGGAATGGGCTATGAGGAGACTCTGCCCGAATCCCGCAGCTCGTGGGGGTTGGGGCCGGGAAGAAAGACCGGGAAGAAAGGCCGCGGAACGCGCGGGGAAGGGAAGCCGTGCCGGGGCTGCGGCTGAGCCCGGGAGGAGCAGCGGCTCTACGGGGCCCCGAGCGTGGCGGGGGGTCTTTCGAAGTTCGGTCTTTTCCTTTGTTTTTTTTTTTTCCTCTGTGTAGGAATGCTTTCTGGGTGAGGCAGCGGGACAGCTGGCAGCTGGTTGGAAAATAACCTGCTGAGATGCTGCCAGGGAACAGCTTTGCCGTGAAAGAATTCCCCTCGCAGCGCTTCTACCCGGGCAGGCCTGCCCGCTCCAGGCTGTTGGTGGCAGCTTGGATGGCTGTCCCAGCCTCAGGGAGCGGCACCTGCACGGAGTCGCAGCGTGGCGCCCAAGGATGCCGAAGCCTGTATGTTTGCACTCCGAAGCGTTCCGTGAACAGGGGCCTGCAGGAGGAGGACACGCACGCAAAAGATTCGGTTCAGTTCTGCTTTCCCAGCTTTCCCTGTTACCTTCTGGAGCGTGTCCTTCTGCAGTTACCTGTGGGCACAGCAGCCACAGCATGGGGATTGAATAATCCAAAAGCAAGTGTTCCTAATAAAGCCAAAGTCAGCAACTCCACTGTAACTCCGCTATTTGGAGAACCCATATAATAAAGGATTCTTGAAACTCCAAAGCTCAATATTTTATAGAGCAAATGAATCACAAAGGTATTTGAATGAAGGCCTGAACAGCTTCATAGAACAAGATTTTTAGGTGTGTGTACCAGCACATCAGTCTGTTTCAGAATTGATGATTTTCCCCAAGACGAAGGTTAATAGGCTCTTGTTCATTGATAATGTTTTGAGATACACAAGGTATTTTTTAACAGCCAGCAAGCAAATTTTCTTAATTTGATTAGTGTTTAATACTACTAATGTGGATTAGACATTATTCATTAACTGCAATTCACAAAGCTGGAGAAAACTTTGTCTCCTACCAAAAATTGGAAGTTCACTCCAGGTCACTTTTGGTTCTAAAAACTGCACCTTTGATAGCAATCTCCTTATCTGATAGAAGACATTGAGTCACATGCAAGGCCAAAGTAATTGTGCCCAAGAGCCTAGCATATGATAAGTAAAACTACAGAAGACAAGCCTTTAAGGAGAGAGGGGGATTCTGAGAAGAAACAGAGATGCCTAAGGATCCTTCATAGTTAAGGCAATAACAGGTGTTTTAATAAAATTACTCTAGTTGGCTCTAATAAAATGTGCTAGTTTTGCTTGATAAGTCAGAAAAGGTGTTAGGCATGTGGATTTCACATGCCTCTACTGAATTACTGTTTTTCAGAATTTACTCAGAAGGGTGGTTAAAAATAGCTGAATTTCTAGGATTCACTCTGCATAGGAAGATGGCATTTGTTTTAGGGAGCCCTGCATTGAGTGAGCAGTGGGTCCTATGTGTGCTTTTGGAAAAAGGTACATTTACATAAAATTCATGTTTGTGCTCTCTTTAACCATCAGAGAGGTCATAGTTGGAAAAGAAATGTCTTACAAGATTTTATAAGGTAAATATTTTTACTAGAAGCTTTCTGTTACAGAATTGAAGCAGTTAAATAATAAATGATAATTACATTTTAAACTTATTTTACTTTTTTTTATTTTCTGTTTTCTCGCTAACTGACTCTGCATGGAAAGTGTTTGTTCACTTTAGAGTGTAATTGCAAAATGTGCTTTTATGTACACTTGGAAAATTCTCTGCCAGGTTGTTGAACTTCAGCCAGCCTGTTTGATGTGCTATTATTTATTTGGACCCCAGGGTCAGCAAATAAGCTCACTCATGACAGATTTATCTATCAGCAAGTGTGTTACTTTCTCCTTGTTCTTTCACAGGCTCACTCGAGGCTGGAATTCCCTCACAGAAGCTGAGAACCAGGAAAAGAGCAGTCACGGGAAACCTGAGTAGCTGAAACATAAGATAAACTGCTCATTCTAGAAGTGATAATGTAAAAATGACATTTTGGTATCTTTAAATTAGGAATTGCTCTGCGTATCTTTTAAAAAGGAACATCATCAAATAAACACTTGCAAGGAACACCTGTTATCTATAAATAATAATAGTGATAATAATAATAATTTGTGAATTATTCAACTCATGTCATAGTTTTCCCTTTTTTCTGGCTACAAGATGGTTATGTTTAGGAGTTCAGCATCTGGCACTCTCTGATGTTTTTTATCTGCATCCCCACTGGTGTCTCAATGGGATCCTTTTTGGTTGTGTTAGCACTGTGAGAGAGCAGGTGAGCTTCCTGGGTGCCCAAGCTGTTTCCTTATACTGAGGAAGACCTAAGGCTTACTGCTGTGTACCTTTCACACTGGTCCTTTCAAACCAGCTGTCTGGTTTCTGCTGGAGAGAGACCTTGCAAGGGGTGGGAATCAAATCTGGGTGATCAGGAGTAGGTGACTTGTGTGCACAAGTGGAAGTCATCTGCTGCATCCTTTACATCTAGCCCCTGAAATCTCATCTTGGGTTTTTTTTTTTCCCACTTTCACAGAATACATTATTAATTTGGTGGCTGATTTTTTTCCCTTTATCCCAGTAAGAGATTTATTATGAAGTGCATTCATGTTCAGTGATACTCATAATATATTTTAAGCTCAGTGTGTTGAGGAATAATTCTCACCCTGGTGTCTTGGCCTGCAATCCACAGATTAAAATACAGATTCAGATTGGGCTCCAGGTTGGAGCTCGAGACAAGAGGCCATGAATTCCAGCCTTTGGGAAAACAAAGGACATGAAGACAGGTGACCGCAGCCAGGTGAATAGAGTACTTGAGAGTAACAGCAGGAGCCGGTGACTGCCAACCTTTTGGACAAGGTAACGCCAGTGCGGTGGATGAACACGGAGCGGGGAGGCAGGAGACGACGAGAAGGAAGAGCGGGACTGACGCCCCGGGGGAGACTATGACAGTGCAAAACTCCGGGGTTTGGCTGTATTTGGGTGTGCCCTGCTCTCCGCTGGCCACGTTGGTGAGCTATAGCGTGTGGTTACTAGAACAGAAAAAGGCGCCAGCGAGTCAGGGGCAAGGCTGGGGGGTCAGGTCTTTGCGAAGCCCCTCGCTTGCCTCGGAACCCTCGGTTCCCCATAAGCTCAGGAGCGCGGGAGCCGCCCGCTCCCTGCGGGGATCTCCAGGCATCGCCTCCCTTTCGGTTTCGTTTTTGCTCTCAGGCGGGCCGGACGGTGCTGCGGGAAACGAAACTGGGCGGGATCTGCGCGCCGGGCCGGGCCGCGCAGGCCGCTGGAGAGTCCGCGGGTCCCGCAGCATCGGCAGCCGCTCGGAGGTACCGGCGGGGCGGGGGCGCGGGAGGAAGGGCAGGGGTCCGTGCCAGATGGGTGCCCGCAGCTCGGCTGCAGCGGCCTGGCCCACCGCGCTCGATGACGGCAGCCTGCGGTCATCTTCGGTTCGTGGGCTACGCCTGGCGTCATCGCTGCTCCGAGGGATATATTAAGTGCCGTCGGGTTCTCTTCTGAAGTAACTGATTCTAATAATGGAGGAACGTTACTGATTATTTTCCTCCCACAGAATTCAGTGAATGATTCAATCTTTTTCTGTTAAGAAATCTGCTAAGAAATCTTCTCTAATCCCTACATTCTCCACAATGCTTTCTAAAACTGTTGTTCCAAGCAATGATTTCCAAAATTTTTACAGACCTATCATTGGAATTAGAAATTCGAATTAGTTTCCTATGAACTTTGTTACTGGCACCAATTTTCTGTTTTATGTCGTAGCAGTGACCTATCTACCAGGATTAGGGGCTGCTTTTATTCTGTGTCTAGAGCAACTGACACATCTTTGAATGTTACTTTGCTGCATCTATTGAAGATTGTGTCAAAATGGATCATGAGTATGTGGCGACGATCAACCGGTACAGTCAAACACATAAACTTACAGTGCAGTACGTCACCATCAATGAGACCGGCCCACCTCATGATCCTGAGTAAGTTTACTTTGCATGTCAATAACTAGCAGGGCTCTTCCTGCAATGAACAAACCGTGTAAAGCTTGCAGTCACAACTGTTAGTTTGCTGAAAGTACATATGTAGTGGGAAAGCTAGTTGAAACGGTGAGTTGAATGGTAGGTGCATGGGTAAAATGTCATCTGATACAGTTTAAAGAGAAAGACTTATTTCAAGGGTGATGGTTCTTTTTCAGAAAGTACCAGCAATGAACCTGCTACTTACTAGTAACTCTGTTGTATGTTATGCATCTCCTCTCAGAAGGTGGATTGGGTTACAGCAAGAATTTCAGTTTGTGATTTAAATGCTACAAAGCAAAGTGTTTACAAAGCATTGTTGATTTCTAACCAGAAAGGTTGGGTGTATTAACTGATTGCATACTAACATATTTAATGTGTAGTATGTTTTTTAACATCTCTTACAAGAAAAGAGTCTTTCTGCTTAAGAAGTTTTGCTTTCCCTTTTAAAGACAATTACAGGTGAGGGAGTATATTTTATTTTTTAGCATTGATATAGTGTATTTTTTCCCTTTCCAAAGGTTGTATATACTCAAAATCTGTAATATTTCCTTGTGTGATTTTTTAAAATTTTTTTTGCTAGTTTGCATGAAGACGAGCCTCATGCTAATAATTACGTTTCTTTTGATGTGTTGTTGCATGTTGTCAGTACGGTCTGCAGACATATTCTTGAGTCCAGCTACCATCCCAGAATAAATGAATAAATACTATCTGGACCTCAAATATTAATCAGTTGTCTTAATTTTTTCCCCATGTGGCTCTTGTAATTTAAAAAAGTAACCCTTATTGCAGTAAAGACCACAGCTGTGATCATGCAGCAACATCTTCATTCTTCAAAAGTGATGACATGGGACTGACAGAACTTAACATACATTTCAAATAACTTATCCCATTTATTGTGATTTTTCATTGTTTTTCTGTGTCTTCTGTTACGTTCAGAAATGAAATTCAACCCATTGTTGAATCCTAGTGGTATCTAGGAAAATCCTGGGTAACTTGGGTTGTTCCAAGGATATAGTGTAAAGTGTCTGGCTGTTGTGATGTGTGCTGTAAAACTCCTTCAGTCCCTTGTGCTGCTCTTTCCCGATGTGCTGCCTGCTAACTGGAAGCATTGATCACTGCAGGTTGTGAGCTGGCTCCCTAACTCTTCTGTGCTGTGTCACATTTCATAAATCTGGGGCCTGATGCAGAGATACCTCCCATGGTGTCATGGTTCTGGTGCTGTGGCTGCTTCCATTACTGTGTCTGACAGGGTCAGTGCTGAGCACAATGTAAGAAGGTTAAAGGACCCCAGGTGGCTCAGCCCTGAGCTTTCTTGGTCTGGGACCACAGAGAATGGACAGTTAGGCCAGTCCTGCCTAAACTGTTAAGTCTGGGAATTGCTTATGAACTTGGGGTTCATGGTGGATGAGTATGACTCTGCCTTTATGAGCAACTCATGTAACATTCCTGCAGGCAATCCTCAACTTGGTCATGGAGATTCACTGCAGATTTCCTCAGGATGCTTAGATAAAATGGTGTATTTTGGATGCAGTGTCATAGCTGAATGTGTGTAGTATTCAGTGCCTAGGTATGGGTTGACTGACAAACTCCTTCCCAAAGAACAACCTTTCTCACATGTTTTGTTTTTTCTTTGTTGTTTCCCATGTGTAGAGTATATGGCACACTATGGGTGTGCCTTTTCCTGCTGTTTTCCCCCTTAAGATTTCTTGTTAAGCCCTGCTTACACAATGAGAGCAAGCACTCTTCTGCATCTTCATTGTTTCCCACCCAAACATTTCATTAAAGGGAGGTGGAGAATGAGGTTGGAATAATGAAAAAAGTGAGTTCCTAAAGTCACTAGGCTATTTGAGAACAATTTGCCTGCAGAGGAGCTCACGGTGCTGTACCTTGACTCTGTGAATCCATCTTGTTGGCTGTGAGCATTTATGTGTTCTGCTGCAATCTGAGGCACAGAGGTGCCCCGAGGCTCCAACAGTCACTTTAACTTGGTGCAAGTGTGTGCTGCTGCCAAAGGCGGAAATCCAATTATTTTCTCCTCTGTTGCCTTTCATACAAAGGCAGTATCAGAAACATTAGGAGATTTGCAGCTGCAGGACAAGTTGGATCTGTAAGGACTGATTTGTCTGAAATCCAACCATTTGTTATGAGGGCACAGCGGTGGGTTGACCCCGGGAGGCACTGAAACCCCCAGCCAATTCACTTTCCCACAGTGGGACAGGGAGAGAATCAGAAAGGTGAAAGGGAGAAAAACTTGTGGATCGAGATAAAGACAGGTTAATAGACAAAGCATAGCTGGATGTGTGACCAAAGCAAAGTAAGGAAGTTGCTTACTCCTTCCCATCAGCAGGCAGATGTTTCCAAGAAAGTGGAGCTTCGTTGTGCCCAGTGTTTACTTGGAGAGGCAAACATTATAGTCCTGGGTATCCCCTGCTTCCTTCTTCATCTCCCAGCTTTTATTGCTGAGTATGATGCCATATGTCATGGAATATCTCTCTGGCCACCTGCCTTGGTTGTCTTTCTTCCCAGCTTCTCACATATCTCCCTTCTGCTTGCTAGAAGGCCAGAGTGGGAAAAATGAAAAAATTTTGGTGCTGTGCAAACACTACTCAGCAGTAGGTAAAACATTGACCCTGTTTTAGTCCCAAAGCCACAACATAGCACCATTCTGGCTGCTCTGAGTTAGTTATATTTTATTTGTTACATGTTAGTTATATGCTCTAAGTTAGTGAGCTAGATGTTAGTGTCATCCCCTTCCATCCCATCCCATCCTATCCCATCCCAGTACCGTCAGTACTGCATCAGATTCCCATTCTGAATCATGGAGCTGCCACATGGGAAGCAGGACATGCACAGTTATGGAATGAGGGACAGAGAGTGATCAGCAGTTGAGCACAGAAAGGCAGGACTGGGGTTTGTGTTTGTGTGTTTGTTTGTTTGTTTGTTTGTTTTGGTGGGGCTTTCTTTGTGACTGCCTTTAAATTCCTGTCTCACAAGCACCAGATGTGGTTTTGCTCTTACTAAGCAGTGCACATCACAGGGTATTAAAGGTGAGTGCAATATCGTGTCTGGTTTCCTGAAATCAAGATTAGCTAATTTTTCCTGTGTGTAGTGTTGCACTGCTGAGATGTCCTGATGTTAGGGCTTTACAAACTTTCTTGTAATGATGAAGATCTCATTCATTCTAATGCTTTCTAAAAAATAAATAAAATCAAAAAAAAGTAGTTAAGCAGTTAAAAATACTGTTGGAATTAATAAAGTCTATGCATTTGTGACTGGAGATGAAAATTAAAAAAAATATACTAAAGTATTATGATAATCATAGGCTTGATATAATAAAAACACATTAATGCTTCAATACTTCCCAGTTACCTTATAGCGCTTTGTAGATAATAAACACAAATTTTAATCTGATAAGGTTATTAAAGTATATATGTGGGAAAAATGTAGCAATGTTTTAGACAAGTTTCCTTTATTGCAGGTTCACAGTTGCGGTCAAAATAAATGATGAGGAATATGGTAGAGGCACAGGTAAAAGTAAAAAAGAAGCAAAAGCAGTAGCAGCAAAAGAAACGTGGAAAATTATTGAGAAACAGGTGAGTAAATAGTAGGATTAAGTTTTGGGGGTTACTATGCCATGTACATCATATGTAATGTAGTAAATGTTGAGGATGAATATCTAAAAGTAGACCAATAAAATGTTGTTTAATTTGTTGTTTAAGTTTCTAATTACTTAAATTGAAATTGTCTTTTTTCTGTCTTACTTGGAACTTCTCTACTTTTTATCACTGAATTGTTTTTCTTACTGTTTTCCTGTAGGGTTGATATATTGTGACTGTTTCCTCCTCTGCTGTTATAGGAGGATAAGGAAATGTATTTGTCTTTGTTAACCTGCCTTGGTGTATGCAGAGTGGACAGTGGTACTTTTATATCTTGACACCTGTTCAATGATTCAATGTCTTCAAAACATTTGCAGGGCATAACTCAGTGTGTCTGTTGCCACTCTGCTAATGAAATTACTTACTTTCACTTGTTCTTATTCATCTTTTTTTTTCCTTTTCATTGTATTCTTTACAGTATAGCTGGTTATATACTCTATCCGTACTTGATTAAGTCTAGGTTTGAATTTTGCTCCTTTTCTGCCGAGTGTTTTGCCCTTCTTTACTTGCCATTCTTTATTTTTCTTTTTGACTCTGCTTCTTAGCATCTTATGAAATCTTTCCTTACATTTTTCTATATGGCTTTTACTGTCACTGCGATTACTTTAACAGAATTGCTGCATGTTTGCTGATATGGTACTGGTGTTGACTGATCATGAGACAGCTGAAAAGTCCTGCTTTTCCCTTTTGTACATGCACAAGAGCGTTTGCAGCCCTTGCTAAATGGGAGCAGCAGCAGAATCTTGCTGCCATCCCTTCTTCACAGCTCATTCCCTATATTTTGCTAAAAGGGGTGGGATGAGGCATGGTGAGAAGTTGTTAAAGGCTGAAGTGTAGTACTTGGAAAGCCGGCTTTACATTTATTCAAAATGTAATAATTTTGCTTGGGATGACTGTCCTTTGCCACAAAGGACAGAAAATGGGATTTCTTAAGAGTCTTGGAATGTGGACAAACCTTGCAGATATATTAGTTCTTGTGCACTGTTTATCTTAATGTTAAGCTTTGGTTTTTAAGTTACCTGTTTTGTTTGCTTTATAGTGTAAGAGTCCCTCAAATATGGCAGCTGCAGAGTTAACAACAACTCAAACAACCTCATCACCTGCACTAGACAAAGATTATGTCAGCCTATTAAATATTTTTTCACAAAGGACGCATCAAATAGTTGAATATCCTAAGAAAACTCGTACTGGAGATGCCCATGCTCCCACGTAAGATACAATTTAATCTTCCTGCTTCCTTCTGATACTTTCCTGTGTTTACTAATACTACCATTAGTTATCCTTGGTCACGTTAGCTGAATCTTTAGAAGGAGTCACACCATCTGCCTGAGAGCATTATCCAAAAGCTTCTTGAGCTGACAGGCTTGGTGCTGTGACCACTTCCTTGGGGGGCCTGTTCCAGTGCCCAACCACCCTCTGGGTGAAGAATCTTTTCCTGATATCTGACCTAAACTTATTATGACTCAACTTCATGCTCTCTCTTTGAGTCCTGTCACTGGTCACCAGAGAGAAGAAATTGGTGCCTGCCCCTCCTCTTCCCCTTACAAGGAAGTTATAACTGCAGTGAGGTTGCCCCTCAGTCTCCTCCAGTCTGAACAGCCCAAGTGACCTCAGCTGCTCCTCATATGGCTGCTCCTCAAGGCCCTTCACCTCTTTGTTGCCATCCTTCAGACATTCCCCAATAGCTTAATGTCATTTTTTATTATGGCACCCAAAACTGCACACAGGACTCAAGGTGAGGCCTCCCCAGCTCAGAGCAGAGCAGGACAATCCCCTCCCTTGCCCAGCTGGCCATGCTGTTCTTGATGCCCCCCAGGACAGAGTTGGCCCTCCTGGCTGCCAGGGCACTGCTGGCTCAGGTTCAACTTGCCAGTGACCAGGATACACTGGTGCCTTTCCACAGTGCTGCTCTCCAGCCTCCTGTTCCCAAGTCTATACACGCAACCTGGGTTGTCCCATCCCAACTGCAGAATTCGGCACTTGCCCTTGTTAAATTTCACATAATTGGTGATTGCTCATCTCTTAATTTTAGTGTGTTGGTCTCTCTGCAGGGCTTCCCTGCCCTTGAAGGAGTCAACACCTCCTCCCAGTTTAGTCTTGTCAGCAAAATACTTGGTATCCTTTGAGTCCTGTGTACAAGTTGTTAATGAAGATGCTGAAGAGCACAGGGCTGAGAATGGAGCAGAGCACCACTAGTGACAGGTCCCCAGCCTGATGTCACCCCATTCCCTGTAACCCTTTGTGCCTGACCCATGAGCCAGCTGCTCACCCATCATGTAAGCATGGTTATTCAGCTGTGTGCCAGATATTTTGTCCAGAAGGATGCTGTGGGAGATGGTATGAAAAACTTTGCCGAAATCCAAAAAGATTGCATCATCTTGCTTTCCTAGATCAGCTGGGTGGAGTACCCTGTCATAGAAGGAAATCAGGGCTTTCTCTTCATGAAGCTATGCTGGCTGTGACCAATGACTGTATTGTTATTGATAAGCATATCAATACCTCCCAGAATAATCTTTTCCATGGTTGTGCTAGGCTCTGAAAGTGGGTTACCTTGAAAGCGCAACAAATTAGTTACCTAGCATTATTAATTAGATTAAATATATATTGAAAACACTGTCCTGAAGCGTGTATTTCAGATTTCCATTCCATAATGTCAGTTGATTGTAGTATTTAAAAATCATTAAATTAAGACTTGTCATATGGCATATAAGACTTGATTCCCTCTTGTATTTTACAGGTATTCTATTAGCTGTACAATTAGTGGTGTTTTGTATGGTAGGGGCACTGGACCTTCCCTAGCTGTTGCAAAACAAGCTGCTGCAAAAGAAGCATATGAGAAGGTAAATAAAGCAAGCTCTCTGACAATATGTGCTATATTTAGCCTTATCACAGAAGTTTAAATCTTTGAACCAATTTCCTCATTGTATTTAAAAGCATATTCCATGGATTCCATTAAAGAGGGAAACAATCCATATCTTAATATGTTGGTTGGGCTACTGTTAGTAGAATTTATGTTATGTTTCTATATTCAATTCTGGATTTAAAAAAAAATCTTAACAGTTGATATCTCTCTGTTGCAGAATAGCTCTGATATGTTGTCATTCAAGGATGCACACATATGAAAAATTTCTAAATTCTTACTTGTATACCAGTTGTCTTTTGAGTGAAGTGTTATTGAACTGGCAGGCTATGAACATACTTTTTTTACTGTCTTCTGTTGAATCAAAAATCTATTGTGGAATGTGAGAGGCAAAGGTAAGACTCAGAATCAACAGGACTCTTGCCTTCAGTAGTGTTCCAAGGCAGAGTCTAGTGAAACAATTGCTGACACCATTCTCTGGAGAGCAGAGCTGTTGTCTTCATGTTGGAAGCTGTTATTTCCACGTGTGCAAAAAATTATTAGAATTCCAATAGTGATCCAAACCCACTTTTGAACTGTACAGAACATACAAACTAACTTAAATGGAGTGTAGTTTAAAATAAACTATGGCAGCATGGGGGAGGGAAGAATTCTTTTTTACTTTTAAGTACTTTTAAAATTATTTGGCTGTTACTGAGAATATTCAATGCTTTTTAAGGTCAACCATGTAATTAATTAATTGACTATTACAGGTCTAGGAGCCTTTCTTAATATTTTTCTATATTGCAAACCCAGTGATCTTTTTATTTTCACTGATGTCTGAAATTTACTACCTCAAGCAGAATTTGTATACCAGTTAGTCTAAATTTGGGGTAGATTGGTTTTGTTTGTTTTTAGTTTTTCCTAATTCTCAGTGATGTCTGTGTAACAAGCAAAATATGACTGGCAAAAAGTAGTAAAGGTCCAGTACTCCTGTATTTATAAAAAGGGGTTTATTTGTTGGCTGTCATTGAAACATAAATCCTATGTTTTGGTTTCCATGGTACCATGATGGAAAACCAGGAAATATAAAAAGAAAACAAGTTTGTTTACTTTTTGTGATGTGATAGTGTATATCCATTGTAGGTGTTGGTGTTGCTTTTAATATTACTTTTATGCTCTTATGACATGGGTAGCGGGAGGAAGGGGAAGAACCACTGCTAAGTATTTGGGGTAGGTTTTTTTTATTCAACCCCAATTTAGTTATGAGTTTTGCAGTGTTTTCATGCTGAAGACGTTGAATGTCAATTTGTACTGACTCAGATTTTCAGTTCTGCTGATTACATATATCAAAGCCTAACATTTTCCACACAGCAGTTGCACATGCAGCAAACTGTTGGAGTCTGAGATACAGATTGTGTGCCCTTGTTTCTAATACTTAGCTATAGGATTCAAAAAACCACTGAATTTCATATAATATGAAATTCATGTGCATGTTTTCATGGTGATACATGAAAATAAATGTTAGAGTTAAGTAGAAAAGATTGAAAATGTAAATGTGTGAATTAGAAAGTTTCTTGAATCACTGGGTGAATGGGTTGAGGTTTAGAGGTTAAGGTAGTTTAGAGAGTAAAAGACAAGATGGAGGATTTAGGGTGTTGTCTCTTGTCCTTCTTCTTTCTTCTTCATGTTCTTCTCCTAGGGGTTTTTGGGTCGTAGTAGGTGATTGGGTAGAAAATGCTGCAGTGCAGCACACAGGTGTTGGGTCATTGGGTCACTAAGAAAAATAATTTAGTTGGCATCTGTTAATTGGGTAAATGGACATATAAAAGACCTTGAAGAAGATCTTTGTTAGCCATTTTACCCCTTTTCTATCTTAGTGCACGTAGCTCCTTGTACCTTGTAATGCTGATAAGAAAAAATAAACAACTGAGACTGGACAAGAGAAACTAGCCTCCCTCTCGTCAATCTTCAGTTCAAAGGGAAAAAGAACCCAATCCAAAAGTCCATAATTAGACAGCAAACAACAAAGATATTTGCTTTCCATAACTCTTACTCTCATCCTAGTTTTGAATAGAATCCAGACTCTACTTTTGTAAATATGTCTGTATAGTACGCTCACTGTGACAGGGCCTTGTGGTTTTCCTTTCTCTAGGAGAAAATTGGGCAGTTGCCTTTCCTCTGCAGGGCTTTGAATGTTTAGTGCAGTTAACAGCTTTCTCTTTGGACCCTTTAATCTTCCCTCTGCCCACTTTGGATGGCATTTTTTGTACTAGGGATTTGTTCATGTGATTTTGTTAAACATTCTTGGCTTTTCTTTTTTTTCCAGATGGAAACTGAAAGATCTAATGGCAGTTGTACACTTAGCAAATGTAGCGATTTCTCTCAAGTGTCAACTGGGTCTGACTCAGAGTAAGTTGGGTTCACTGCTAATGTGATAACAATATATTTACTAATCTTGGAGGGTAGTGTTCTCTAAGTCTAAATAAAGTATATAATTTTATTGTTTTATTGCAGTATAGAGCCATCTAATTTTAACTTCTGTTCCTTATACTTTGGAGCAAAGTTTGTTCTACTTGTGCAATTTTATGTGAGTCTGTATGGTAAAGCTTAGAGCTTTCTGATTTATTCCTGCTTTGCCGTAGGTAGTTCTTTCAGAAGCATTTTTACTGTGATGTAAATGGATTAGCCTACCTCACTCAATAGCTTTATTTCATCCCACTTTAACACTAATTTTGCTGTTGTGACACTCTTGTGAACTCAGTATAATTCAATTTCAGTACTTTCCTGTGCTCTATAGTCTGCTTTCTTCTCTCCCTTTTTTCTTTTTTTCTCCCCCTTTTTTCATTCTTTGTGAATCTTCATTTCCACCAAAGGGAAAACTTTGCTTAGCAAAAGAAGCTGAACATGCATTGTTTGATATGTGATTTGAGAACCAGCAGTTTGACTGTAGTGCCACTACTACTTTTACATTCTTCTATCTTCTAGATATCATAGACTCATTTCATAATAAAAATAATGGAGAATATTACGAAGTGGTGTTATTTTAGTAGCTTTCAAGCAGGATGTTTTATAGTTTAAATCAGTCATGATTGTTAATGCCTTTTCAGGTTTTGCTTTAAAAAGTGTGGGGTTTTTGGTACTTCTTTTCTTGTGACAGTAATTTTATTAATTATTGTGTTTCTTTCACCTAAAAATAGTCCATTATTTTTCAATAGAAACAGCATTTGCTTTGATGACCCATCTGCACAGTTGGTAGAAAACATGAAAGACATGACAATGTCTGAAAAGCCTTCACTTTTTCAGGTATAGTATGAAAATCGTCTTCCTCATAATGATGTTTTAGACCCTGAATGGGGCATGCTTCTTGTAAGAGTGTAACATCAGTTTGTTCTTTTATCCACTAATCATTGGAAAATACATGCATTTTTCCTAAGAAAATTCAGTATTGTTAATCATTACTCATTTCCTTCTGTATTGTGGATCAAATTTATGTAGTGTTTAAGAAATGGTACTATAACCAAGAAAAGGGTCAAACTAAGCTAATTTTTTGCAATGATAATGGTATGTATGTTTTTGCAATGGTAATGTTATGCATAGCTAAGATTCATTCTTATGACATTGTTTACATAAGGTATGATCATATTTATAGGCAATTCCTAGATACATTATCAGACATGTTTTAAACCAACTACAGTGAAAATATTCAGGATACCTCAGACAGGCTTTTTTTTCCTGTTTTCCATGTAGAGAAATGCACAAAATCCTGTCCTGAACAAAAGGTATGTGTTTATTTTGAGATTGCTATCTCCTGTAAACTATATTGCAAATATCTTTATTTTTTTTTATCTCTACTAAAGAAATGCTGCTATCGGGAGGCACATTTCTTTTCTCATCATGTGTTAGAAGAATGGCTCATTATAAATTTTGCTTTTATCCTTGTTAAAGAAAATTGGCAGCTAATTTTGCTAATGTAAGAAACAAGGAAGAGGAAAAAATAAAGTCAGATTCAAATGAAAGTTCACCAGATGTGGACACAAATGCTGGAGAAGAGAATGGGAGTCCACACACTGTCAATAAAACGTAAGAAGGTTTTTTTTTTAAATTAATATTTTTAAGTCAATAACAGTATATATAAATCTAGATTTGTTTTTTTATTTATGGTAGAAGGAGGGAAAATACTGCTGTAAAAAGAACTTTCAAAGAAAATTGAAATTAAATTTCTTTTTCGTGGAAATTTCAAATGTAGCATAGAAATTGACAAGCAATGGTATTTAAAGCTTACAACCAAACATTATTCATGTAAAGATGTGAGGGTAATGACCTGACACGCCTGAAAGGGTCAGTTTCCCTCGTTTTAATCTGCAAGGCTGTGGTTTAGATCTGTAGATTTGTCAAATGATCACTAGGATATTGTAGTAGATGTATTATATCTGTCAAGATTATTTGATACTCTTAATTGAAAATTAAGTATAATTAAGTGTGGTTTTCCTTTTTTTTTTTTTTTTTTTTTTAAAGATTTCTCTCTCTTTTTGAAAAAATAGAGCTTATTGGTGCAGGTGGTTTTGGGAATGTTTTCAAGGCAGTATCCAAGTGTGATAAGACAGCCTATGCAATCAAGCGAGTTGAATTCACAGAGTACGTACTGTGTATTTACTTCTGCCTTTTAGGACAAACTTAATCAAGATTTTAATACTTTGTTTTCTCTGTTCAACAGTAATAGGAGCATTTAGGCAATTTTCATTATTAATTGTCTGTCCTTTCTAATAAACTGTTTTCTTTATTTCCAAGTAAGCTGAAAGTGGTGCTGAACCTTTGTTAAATTTTGCATGTAATGGGTTAATTTCTGATGGAGCTGTAAAAATGTAGGTGTGTTAAGTTCTCTTTTCCCTGAACACAGTAGTAGTGCTCTGGTTGCTAATATAGCAAAATGTGTATGAAGAAAACCGGATGATTACTAAAACACTGAAAGCAGTCCTGTTACTTTTGACAGGCTACATGGAAAATTTCCATATCAGTAATGCAAAATAACTATAATTACAGAAAGTAGGAAAAAATACAAGTAATAAATTTTGTGGTTTGTAATTGGAAAATGCTTTATATGTGACCCATGTAGTCATTACTCCCAAGTTGTGTTACTTGGCTTTTATAAATCTCAAGAGAGAATTATGATCTTAATTTTTTTGAAAGTAATTTTCTGTAACCATTACCTAGTGGAGTATTTTATCAGCAGTTGAAAAAATTAATTTCTTTTAGGTTATCTATTGAAAATGTTTTTAATTGTTGGAGATACTTGTTCCTTAAATTGTGTAATGTGTACATATTCCTTTGGATTCTTGTGTTCTTTGAAAGTATGTGTTATTTTCATTGATACTGGTATCCTAAGAACTATACTGAAAACCTACTGGTTCTTCAAGTAATGACTGCTGCTCTGCTGGCAGGTTTGCAGCTATTTGCTCTTTCAGATTTTTTTGAGTGGGGATTTAAACACTTTTTGCATGTTGAATAATTGAGGAGATGAAAATAACCCCACCAAATTTGTAACTCCAGTTTTGAACTTTGAACTTATATGAAGGTCAATATTATGCTTTGTTTTTAAATTAATGTAAAACTATCTGTATCCTGCCACTTGACAGCATATCTTTTATTTAACTTTGTATTACATTGTAATAGGGAAATGCCTTATTTTTTAAAATTCTTTCCCCTGCTCCTGACAGGAAGGTAGAACGGGAAGCACAAGGACTTGCAAGACTTACACATGAGAACATAGTGCGGTATCATTGCAGCTGGAAAGGGTATGACCATATAAAGTACCCGGACTCAAGGTAACTACAGAATAATAGTTTGCATTCACAAACTTTTTTGCTGTAGTGAACTTTATGCTGTTGATAATTGGTTATCAATTATTATACGAATATAAATGCACACATGTGAAATCATACTGCTAGGAGAAAATGCACAATACTTTCCAGCAGCAGGTTGTATGTCATTAAGTATATTTCTATCTTCTTTTTCTTGATTAATAAGATAACATGATTTTATATTTCTCTCCTCTCTCAATATATGAAACTTAATGAATGTGTAGAGGAGAGTAAGACTGCAGAACTCAAAATTTGGGGCAAAAACTAACAATAGAAACTAAAAAATTATTTGGCTACCAAATTCTTGATCAGAAGTTTACTTTTCATAGTAAGTACTGGTCAGCCAGTAACTATCATAGATTTAATTATTTCCCTAAGTTAATTTTTTAACCGTGATGCCTGAAACAGTTTTGATTGTTTAGAAAAGGAATACAAAATGAAATGTTCTTTAATTTAGAGGTAGTCTTTTGACACTGAGACTTCTGGTAAAACAGTGCTGAGAGTTTTACTTGTAAGTTAGACAAAACTTTTCCAAGCTCCTTTGGTAAGCTTTTTTCACTAGTTGTGAATTCATACTCTTCAGACAGGCTGTCATACTTACTTAGAGCCATAAAATATTAATGGATTCAAAATTATGGTTGGCATGACACGTCTCCATAACTGTGCTCATTAAATGAGAGTAAAATGTGGGGGAAAAAGTCTGTCAAAACGGAACCATTAATAAGTTGGAGCCTCAATATCATGTATATATTTTACATTAAACAGTTATTGGGTAAAAGACAGAAAAAAAGTCCTAAAAGCTGAGCACCCAGACTGGAAGTCATGCCCTGACTTCAAGGCTACAGAGAGTCCTGAGCCATTTAATGCTTGTTCTTTCAGTGCCTCGAGCAGCTTTATTCAAGGGCACTCATCACACAATGTACATAGGAAAAAACAGTGCATGCTTCTCTTTGTATTTTCCTTCCCCTCACCATCTCCGGCCTCAGCCTATCCTATGGGCTTCTCTGGAATATGTGAGGCTGCCAGATGGGTGAATGTATTTAATCTAGATTTGCAGCTCTCAGAAGGGTCTCTGTGACTAGCAGACCAATGTCAAAAATGGTCACTACCTTCATGACATGACAGAGTTGGAAAGTACATGACCATTCTGGGCAGGGTAGGAAGGCAGGTGCTGTGTTTCTGGAGCAGAATAGAGAACATGTGTCAGGGACTTGGAGCAGTTCCTGCAAGGTCATATGGGAACCAAGGACAGTGGTATTTCTTCCTGAAAAGGACGTGCCTCTAGATATGAGGGAAATTGAACTTGGGCTCTCAGAAAACTTCCAGTGTGAAACCAGAAAGCAAGCAAAACTTCAGAAATATTCCAGGAGTATGTAGCAACTGAGCAGGGATTCTTTGGGTTGCAGTCCTATTTATTTAAAACAAATTCCTCTAGGATCTTTGTTAAAATTAAGGGACTTGCAGACTTTGTTTTGGGTAACTCCAAAAATAATTATTAGCAAAAAAGGCCTTTGAAGATGACTTGGGAGGAACTTTATCTTGCCAATTTTAATATGGTATGTAATTTTCTTTTGAAGCCGAAATTCAGACCAAAAAATTTGCTGTTTTTTCATCCAAATGGAATTTTGTGAGCAAGGAACATTGGAAAACTGGATTGCAAAAAATAGAGAAGACCGAAAGTATCATGCAATGGCACAAACCAAATTTTTACAAATAGCGAAAGGGGTGGAATATATTCATTCTAAAGAGTTAATTCATCGAGACCTCAAGGTATGTAGGATAGGTAAAGAAATAAAGAAAAAAAATGCATTTAAAGATAGTATACTTACTGGAATTTCAGAGAATGTTAAATTGTTATAGTGCTTGCTTACTCTGTTACGTACCCTAGCAATGTGCTTCTTTGGATATTGCTAGTGATTTTCTTTCAGCAGCTGGCTGAACCTCATCTTAAAATCAAAAGGTAAACTTGGAGGATCTCAGAATGCAATTCTGAATTCAAAGAATCAGTAGTCATCAGCTAACAGGCATTTTCAGTGTGTTACTGTTGCCTGTTGAAATAAAAGTTGAGTCTAGAGAGTTTGCTCTTGCCATATTTTAAAGGGATAGTTTATCCTAATACATGCTGTGTTTGATAACATGCTCTAGTTACTTTTGTCCTGTGTATGCATACAAATTGTTTGAATGCTACAATTTTGGATAGAATTTCAGTCTCTAGATGTGCACAGTCATAAGAAGATTTTATTTCAATATAAAGATTATAAGGGACAAAGCCTTCATGGCTTCAGATGGAAGCTATAATGTTGCTTAGAGAGTTTTAAATCACTCACTTTATGAAAAAAAATCATTAGTGTGGTGGCATTCCTAGAGTTAAGCTAACTTCCCTGCCTGATCACTCAGGAGCCACTGTGGAAGTCAAATTCCCACCACCAGAGACCTTGACAGCTGGGACTGAAGTCCCTTCACAGCAGGCTGCTCCAGTGAACCCACAAATGCCTCACTTGACCCCCTCCACACCCCGGCTGTATTTGATGCTCAAGACGGGGTTCAAACCATTAACCCTGAGATTAGGAGTCTAATGCTCTACTAGCTGAGGTAGGAATAAGGCTGTGGTCGATCAGGAGTGGTATTCTCCAGTTTAATGTTCCTACTGAATCCACACACTGCTCACTGACTTTCCCCTCCCCTGTGGCAGGCTGGAGAGAAGAACTGAAGGCACAAAAGGAAAAGAGCACAGGTTTATATAAGAAAAATTTACTGGAAACAGCAATGAGATAAGAAAAGAAGAACAAACAAAACAAAACATTATTAAAACCAGAAGTCAAAAAACAGAGAGTGATTCACATACAAAAAATTCACCTTGGAGCACTACCTGTTCATGGCCATGCTCCTATGACCCAGAAGTGAATCCTTCCCCCATTCTCAGAAAATGACATGAGGTAGTATAAGACAAACTGATTACTGTACAAACTAACCCTCTCCTGACCAAAACCAAGTTATGCTGCTAACTCTTCTACCTGTATTTGAATTGAGAACCTTCCTCTCCTCTTTGATGTACTGTCAGCTTAGGTGTTTGGCCACCTGAGGTATCCATAGCCCAGAGTCAAAGCTTGCAGGATAGGTTCAAGCTGAGATTAAAGTAATTTGTGCCTGATAGGAACAGAGTCATTAAATAGTGTAGCCAGTTGCAGGTACTATATTAAATATGTGTGGACATGGTTAGACTTGAACAGAACAACTACACTGAGCATTCTTTACATGAAGATCTCTTCCTGTTGACTATTAAGTATGTCCTGGCCTTATGGTCCTCTAGAGCTTCTTTGAGTAAAAGATAGTGTGAGTCTATTTGGTTTGGTTTTGTTTCTGAATGTTTTAAAAACATTCAGAAGATGAAGTTACTTCATCATCTTTGGGAAACTTCATTGAAGAATGTATCATTCTGTTTTTAGTTCTTTGTGTTCTGGTTTTAGCTAGGATACAGTTAATTTATTTTCAAGAGGTGGTACAGTGCTGTGTTTTGGGTTCACTATTATAATAATGCTGATAACACTGATGTTTTGGTTGCTACTAGGTAGTGTTTATTTTAAGTCAGAGACTGTTTTTACATGGAAGGGGGGCTAATCTGGGTTCAGGGAGGGAATCTGGCATCAGTCAGTGGGTGGTGAGCAATTGTATTGTGCATCACTTGTTTCTCCTTGTTTTGGTTTGTTTTTTTTAATCCTTTTATCATTATTATTTACCACTGTTATTAAATTTTACTTTTGTTTCAATTATTAAACTATTTGTAACACAGCTTACATGCTTACTTTTGATTGTCCCTCCCATTCCACTGTGTGGTGCTTAGTTGCCAACTGGCCTTAAGCCATGACACGGTCAAATTTTAAAAGGGGAAATTTAATGGAAATGTAAAAGTGATACTCTGGGATACCTGTAGTAAGCCTTAACACTGCATTTAATTTACTACATGTGATCCCTTTGTGCCTAGGAGAAACTCTGACTTGAGTGGAATTCCATGTGAGACTAAATGCTTTGACCAAGTGTATGAAGTCCTGGCTAGGATTGAAGAGTGAAAAAGCACTTTGGGATATTAGAATGTTATATGCACAATGTATTTGAAGAGCAATTAAAGCATGATACAGTTATGACTGAGCTAGTGGGAAAAAGGTGCAGTTACTGCAGAGTGTACTATTTGAAGTTTAGTTTGTGTTTTTAAAAATTGATTTAACTTATTTCTCTTTCCACACCATTGGTTTCTTAATGTTACTTTCTGAACAATTACCAGATTTTATGGGGAACACTTCTGTGGCTGATTATACTTGATGATAAACCTTGGTCATTTGGTGATTTTTTTTTTCTTCTTTTTATTTATATATATGAAAATAGCCTCAGAATATATTCATATCACACAATGATAAAATAAAAATAGGTGACTTTGGTCTTGTGACTTCTGTGGCATTTGAGACTCTGACTGAGGACAGAGGAACAAAATCATATATGGCACCAGAACAGGTAATTATCCTGCTGTATGAGTATCTCTGTAAGTAGATATGCGCTATAAACTCAGCATTGGATGTTTTCAATCTTAATCTCATTATTAAAGCAAGTTGTCTTAAATTCCTTGGTATGACTGTATGCAAGGATAACTGTATCCTGGAGAAAGTGTATTCTGTAACTGGATAACTGTATTCTGGAGAACACAAGTGTGTTCATGTTTTTTTGCTTTGTGTGAACATACAGTTTGACACTGTGTGCTGTAAGGAATGCTGTTGTAAAACCAGGCTGCCAGACATATATTTAAATTTGAATTTTGGGCCCCTGTTAATTGCGTAATTTGAGTTTCTCTGTTTCATTATTTGTCACAGGACAATATTGGCATGCTTTATCCGTACAGGCCTGTAGAACTAGTAATTTAATTTCAGGGTGTTCAGTGTGACATAGTAGTCACTATTTAACAGGTCGGAGGCAGAAAGGGTTAACAATTAAGAAGGATATTGAGTAGGGCCAGTCCTGTAGCCTTGGGGTGGAAATTTTTGCTGACTTTAAATTTTGCTTTAAGAAGTGCTGTTCTCCAGTTGGATTTGATGCCTGTATTGTTCTGTTCTAATCTTTCTAGTCTGGGGCCAGATATGGAAAGGAAGTAGATATTTATGCACTGGGATTAATTTGGTTTGAAATTCTTTCGGCATTCACTTACCATGAAAAAACTAAGGTATGTAATCTTTAAATTTAACAACTCCCACTTTGTTGTTGTTGTTGTTTTGCCTTGCTGCTGGTATCACATATTGATAGCATTCTAGAAGGAATCTCTTTATCTAGATTACTATCTCTATTTACATTTTTTTCCTTAATTCATTTCCGTGAAGCCTGTAAGACCTCACACCTTAGTTGAAATGTTCTAACTGAAGGAAAAAAATACTATAGTTTATTACACTTCTGTCCTACTACATAGACACTAAAGCCTGAGCATGCTAAAGGATAAAGTCAAGCAAAAAAGGATGTCAAGTTTCTTATAAATATTTTTCTTTGATGAGAAACTTAAAGGGAGTATTTTTCTAATTTTAGAAAATAAAAATTATGGATGGGTGACTTTTGTCTCTGCCATGCTCTTGTCTTCACTGCACAGTGGAGCAAGAAGAGTTTCCACCAAATCAAAACCCTTGCAGTTTTCCAAGATGAAAACAAAAGTATTTGAAAAATGTTGCTTGAAGTGAAACAGATATTTCAAAAAGAAAATCCCATGTTACTTAAGCTTTCTTTTAAAAGGTATCTTGTATGTGTTTTGAGCTTTTTATGTGCAAACCTTCATATTGGTGGGAGATATTGATGTAGCTGCCGGGTATCTTGTCTAAAGTAACTGTGGTTGGACTAAGACTTTGAACAGGTAGTCAGATCCTTTTGCCAGTGTTAGAAAATCATACCAGTGTGTCTGTTCAACTTGTCCAGCCACCTTGCAGTACTTCCTCAGATCTTCTGTTCCTGCTCACAGTTGACTGCAAATGCATGCACAGTCCCACAGTGTTTACAGTTGGAAAAGCATAATTTCCTTAAATTATAAAAATCTTGTGCTCTGCAGGCAGGTGGAGAAGTTATGTGGATGGAAAGTCCTAGGATGGTGTTCAGCTGCTCCATTAGATTAGGAAGAATTTCACTTAATGGAATATGATAAACTCTAGTGTTGGCAAGCCCTGCTGCGAGAACATCATGTAAAAGCAAAGCTGATTATTCTGTGCTGAGTAACTGGTTCAGTTCATGATCCCCAGCACGTAGGGTCACAGGCTTAAAGCTACTGCTAAAGAGTAGGGGAAAAAACTCGAAGTTCAGAGGAGCTGTTGTTTTACTCGATAGTGGTTGTAAAGGGCTTGCTATGCCAGGCTTACAGGGATCCATAAGACTAACTGATGATTTGGGATACACAGCTAAGTCCAAGAACATGACTGTCATCTTCAGGCAGACATTAACACTTAACAGCAAATGAATTAAGCAGACTGTTTAACCAGAAAGCCACTTGCAGAATCACAGAATGACTGAAGTTGGAAGGGACCACTGGAGGTCATCTAGTCCAACCCACCTGCTCAAGCAAGGTTCCCTAGAGCACATTACTTGGGCTTGTGTCTAGTGTATCTCCAGTCAGGGAGACTCCACAGCCTCTCTGGGCAATCTGTTCCAGTGCTCAGTCACCCACACAGTAAAGAAGATTTTCCTCATGTTCAGGTGGAGCTTCCCATGCATCACTTTCTGCCCGTTGCCTCCTGTCCTACTGCTCAGCACCAGTGAGCAGAGCCTGGCTGCATCCTCCTGGCACCTCCCTTCAGACACTCACAGCCATTGATGAGCTCCCCGCTCAGTGCCTCTTCTCGGGGCTGAACAGGCCCAGCTCCCTCTGCCTTTCCTCCTAAGAGACGCTCCAGTGCCTCAATCCCCTTTGTTACCCTCCACTGGAGCCACTCCAGGAGCTCCATGTCTCTCTTGCCCTGAGGGGCCCAGGACTGGACACAGCAGTCCAGATGTGCCTCACCAGGGCTGGGCAGAGGGGCAGGATCACCTCCCCTGGCCTGCTGGCAATGCCCTTCCTAATGCACCCCAGGATTCCATGGCCTTCTTGGCCACAAGGACAGGCTGCTGGCTCATGGGTGGCTCGTTGTCCACCAGGACCCCCAGGTCCTTCTCCACAGGAGGTCAGCCCCCAGCCTGTAGTGGTGCAGAACCCTGCATTTCCTCTTGTGGAATTCCAGAAGGTTCCTCCCTGCCCATCTGCCCAGCCTGTTGAGGCCCTTCCAAAGGGCTGCACAGCACTCTGGGGTATTGGCCTCTCCTCCCAGCTTTGTGTCATCAGTGAACTTGCTGAGGACACATCTGCCCCTTCATCCAGGTCATTGATGAACAAGTTAAACAACAGCTCAATTCAAGCTCAGTATTGAAGCTTGGAGGACACCATTGGTGACAGGCCTCAAACTAGATCCTGTGCTGCTGAGTGTGACCCTCTGGGACCTGCTGTTCAGCCAGTGCTCAGTCCACCTCACCATCCATTCGTCCAGCCTGCTCCTCCTGAGCTTGACTATCAGGGTGTTGTGAGAGACAGTGTCATATGAAAAAAAAAAATTGTTAACCAAAAGCTATTTTTAAAGCATGTAATGACTAATCTAGTTGCTTTGAAGTCCATGTGGTATTTTATGCAATGACATAGAATTGCATTCTGCTTGGCTTGCAAACAGAAATCCAGCTGTCTTGCTTTTTTCTTTTCTTTTAATGCCATTAGACAAAATAAATCCATTGCTTTTAAATTAAGGAAAGAAAGATAATGGTTCTGGAATAGAGAGGACTATTGAAACAAACATGTCATTACAGTGTGTGAAGCTTTTAAGCTTAGAAATGGATAATAATTGAGGAAAAGGATGTCATCATCAAACCAAACCAAAGCACAACTAAATGAAAAAAAGCCCCAGCTTTCAAACTCTTTACAGTTTCTTTTTGAAGCCTTACATTTCCTGTAGATTTGTGTTTTCCTGATTACTTCAGTAAACTTTATGGGTCATAAGGTAGAGATACAAAACATAACAAATTAAAGCATACCAAAACTATTCTCTTTTATTAATTTCAGGTATGGCCTTCTGCTAGAAAAGGTGAGCTTCCAGAGTGCTTCATGAACAAATTTCCACCAGAGGTATGGGGTTTTAATATATTTTTTGGTTACTGTGTTAACTAAAAAAAGAAAAAAAATAAAATTCTATTGACATTTAATTTTTTTTTGCAGGCATCCATAATCAAAAGGATGCTTTCAACAGACCCTTCGGGAAGAATCACTATATCTCATTTACTCGACCTTGTTAAGTCTGCTGATGAAGAGAAGGAACTTAGAAATTATTCTTATTAAATGTCCTTTCATACTGTGTTTAAATCCAGAGTTTGATGAATTTATTACAGTTGATGAAATGACAACAGATGTCAGAAGCAACAGCGAGACTTGGGGTGTGTCTTTTCCATGGCTACATCACCATTCATGTCTGCCAGCTGCAACCAGGACAGGACACTTCTGCAAGAAATCACACTCAATTTTTACCTGGAAACATAGGTTTTGGATGAGCTGGATTATTTTGTACAATAAGTAATAGAACCTAGTCCTTTTCCCCTCAAAGATTATGCTGATGTGGTAAAGCGCTAACTGGGTTGTGGCAAATCCCTGCATGTGCTGCATCCATTATCCCTTAAGGTTATCTACTGCTTTCCATGGAAGAAGTGCTGTCAGGTGCTATGTGACTCAAACCTTTCTGCTTTGTTCAGTGATATTGTTAATAATTACTGGAATGCTCCCATTAATAACAAGACTAGTTCTGGCAGAAAAGATACTAGGAATAGGTGCATGTTATTCTTCACTGAATTTCAGTACTTTGAGGTGAGGTTTTTTATCTCTTCACAGCTGCTGATGACCTAGCACCTTCAGTGCTCTAGATTTTAAATTTGTAAAATGAGGATTTCTTAAGGATTTAAATGTTAAGTATTCAGCTTCTAGGACATCTAATTTAGAACAAACCTCAATTTTTGAAAACTTTAGGTTTTGATAGTTATCTTTTTTGGAAAGGAACATTCACAGTGCTATTAATACAGGAAAACTCTTCATTGCCTCAGTAGTAACCACTGGAAATCCTAGGCTGAGAGAGTACTTCAAACATTCCCATGCTTCTAGGTTTTAATCCCTTACTGTAATACTGAGGCATGCCTGACCCTTAATAACTGTACTGAGTACCTCTGGTGTGTACCACAAAAAGGAACAGCAGGTTCTCTGCTACTCTTCTTTTATATCCTTCAGAGTTCAGCCTCGCCTGAACTTGAAGTACTGTGTGTGGTGTGGGGAACAGGGTGAAAAGACAGGCACATTGGGCCTTCAGGTGCTTGTCTTTGAGCTCTGTCTTGTCAAACTGTTCATTGACATGGGGCCATCACATATTACCTATTTTTTTGCTTCGAAATCTCTGCTCATTTGCGTAATGGCAAACGAGCAGAGATTTCAAAGCAAAAAATAAGTAATATGTGAAGTACTGTATGCTTTTTCTGAAATGTTAAATGGATTAAAAGTGGGTGACTTCTCTGAAAGAGATAATACAAATGAGTGTATTTGTATTCTTAAGGAAATTACTGATGTTCTGGTGCAAGTATTTATTGCTAAATAAGAATGTGCTTGTACATACTTTTTTAAGGCCTTACTGCTTTCTTTTTTTCTCTTTATCATGAGTCACATTTATTGTATCATAGAATGGTTTGGGTTGGAAGGGACCTTAAAGATCACCAAGTTTCAACCCACCTGCCCTCGGCAGGGACACTTCCCAGTAGATGACATTACTCAAGGCCTTGTTCAGCCTGGCTTTGAACACTGCCAGGGATGGGGTATCAACAGCTTCTCTGGGAAACCTCTTCCAGTGCTTCACCACCTTCACCATAAAGAATTTCTTCCTAATATCTAATCTCAACCTTTCACTTCAAAGCCATTTCCCCTTGTCCTGTTACTACATGCCCTTGGGAAAAAGTCTCCCTCCAGCTCTCTTTGCAGCCCCCTTTAGGTACTGAAAGGCTGTTCCAAGGTCTCCCTGGAGCCTCCTCTTCTCCAGGCTGAACAAGGCCAACTCAGGCAATTTCATTTGCCAGTTCCCTCAGGACCAGTGGATGCATGGCAGCAGGTCCCATGGAGTAGTGCACCTCTAGGTTCTTTAGATTTTTTTGAATCTGATCTTCTTGACATCCCTGGTCAGACTGAATTCCATCAGGGCTTTTCTAACCTTATCCTTGACTGGAATTCATAAAATATTTCACTACTCTAGACTAATTAGTATTTCTTTGCAGTGGTCAAGATCTGTAAGAAACTACATATCCTTACAGACAAAATAGTACTATTTCTTCTTTTTCTTCTCTTTAGTCTGTTGGGATAAAATTGACATATAGTTGGACTTGATGATCTTTAAGGTCTGTTCTAACCTAAACAATTCTATGAAACTATTAATAATAGGAAAATTGATATGTGACAATCTCTTGGCTGCATTTCCTTTACAGTTTTTGGACAGACCAAAGTAGTATCATTACTTTCTTGCTGTTAAGTAATACTGAGTTTGTCCCAGTAGTTTTTGATATATTTTTCCTGCATAGTATTTTTATATGTCAGCATTAACTTTTTATAAATGGTAATAGGTCTATTAAAATGTATTTTTATGTAAAAAAATGAAAATCCACCATCATGATCTAATTACGGAAAATATGCACCTTTATATACAACGGAATATAATATATACGTAATAGTATATATATGTCACTGTCATGTTTCACAAGCTTTTTTTTCCCCCACCAAGTTTAAGAGAGTAAGCAAAACCAGGCTGGTATTTAGGTATCTCTGTAAAGATGAAAAAAAACCCTGTTTAATACATTATGCAATAAAGTGATTAGCCAATATTTATGCCTTCACTCATACTTGAATTTTATTACCAGTTGGGCAGTAAAAAACAAAGATGTGAAAGACTTAACCTATGTCTCAGTTATGTTAGTTCAGTTACAAACACCAACTTTTAATTTCTATTAAATTGTGCATCAAACAGAAAATATGAATTTAACCTGTCAACTTAAACTCTTTTTCTGCATACTTTGGTATGAATTCTTGAGAATGGCACAGCTCTGAGCCTTTTAAAAGATACTATGAATTATACATACTTATCTAGGGCTCCTTCCTTTAGACTGGCTTTAGTCATGATCTGCAGCACTGTCTCCAGGACAGTTTGAAGATAAATCTTCAGAGTCTACAGGACAAGCAGGAGAAGAGTGAGTAATTGCAGCTCAGGGAAGGAAAAAATGGTTTCTAGAAATACTTCTAGAATCGATGTAGAACAGATTAAATGGCATTCAAGGTTTACAAGTTAGTAACTCCCAAATTTGTTTTGAAACAAATTTTGAAACAAATTCTACTCTCTTTGGTGCTGTGAAACTGTATGGTGTTCTAATTGTTTCAAAAACACCTGCTAGCTTTCACAGCTTTTATGGTACTGGTTTTAGTATCTGAATTATGTTTTCTCAAAACTAATCAAATGATATAAGTTCAAATAAATGTCAGTATGGTTCGCTGTGTTTTGTTGTGTGTGGGTTTTGTTTGTTTGGTTTTTCTGCATATAAACCCAAAAATTGGCTAACAATCACAACAACAGTATGTATGAAGCTTTGTGCAAAAACCAACAGCCTGGAAGGTAAATCTGCTATGTAGATTTGGAAGCTGCAGTAAGGGAAACACAAAGGAAATATGCTACAGCTGGAGTCTAGCTGCATAAGCAAAATAAAGCACCTACAAAAGCTTGGTTCACTCTCACCTTCATAGGTTGTTCCACACCAAATGCAATAGAAGTGCTTCTCTCTCAAATAGGCTGTCAGGATGTGTAGCTTTTCTGATACCTAGAAATATGTACAGGTATGTGATTACCAGGGGCTCACATGACATAAACCACTCTGAGCCTCTGGTTTGCTAAAATAAGCGTTTAACCCAATGCTATGGAAAAACTACACAATACCATAGCTCAGTAAGACATGAAGTTTCCCACATTTGTAGAACAGTGCACAGGAATGCATGATCTCTGGAAAGTTAATAGCTGTTGTTTGCTCATCCTTTTTTCCAGCTAAGTAACCTGCACTGAAAGGAGAGAGCTAAATATACTACTTAACTCCTATATGGCATCTTTTGTGGAATTTTTCACATCTAATCTCTGCCAATCAAACACTTAAGACTAACAACAGCTGTGTAATCTAGTTCTTAAAAATATGTATTTCCAATGTCCCTCTTAAGATAATCTGTGAAGCATTTTTAGAAATTAATTAGCAACTCTAAACTTCAACCTCAGACATGAGATGAGGCATCAAAAATTAAAATTCAAAAGCTTATGACTGTGATCTTACCTATCTTGGCTAAAAATGTTTAGAATTTAATTTCTAGGCTACTTTTTTCAAAGATCAGGCTTAAAACAGATGAGCAATAAATCAGTGCTGTAATGTTTCATATTTTATCATGTAACTGCTATAAAAGTCACTGCTCTGTGATTGCAAAGAGGTCCTTTACTACAGTGTGGGAAACATGTATACATACATATGTTTCAAGGAATATTAGATTTAATTCTGAATTGAGAAATTAATTAAGTTTAAGAGCTTACACTTAAGTCTGAGCTTGCGCATTCATCTTCCTTGTCTTCCTCATCCTTTTTGTCTTCCTCTTCAGGTTCTATCCAAAACCAAGTCTCCTTGGGAACATCAATATCCTTAAATAACAAGGGATTTAAATGGAAGTTATCTGTCTGTAGGTTTTCTTGTAAGACGCTGGATAAAACTAATTTTTAGGAAGTGAGCTGTTAGCCTTTAAAACTTGCATGTATAGTATAACCAAGAATTACTAAAGCTGTTGGTAAGTACAGTGGTCCACAAGAAAGATTATTCACTTTTTTTTTTAACAATGGAATGCATGCCAATGCTAACACCTAGTTCTATTTAATCTATTTTTGGCATATGTATGTGCATAAAGATAGATAGATAGATAGATAGATAGATAGATAGATAATTTGGCAAGGCTACACAGCAACACAATCTCACATCGAGTCTTAGAGCAGATAGCCTTGTTTATCAGTTTAAGACATGCTGCCCCAAGTTATTTCATCAAGAGATCACACAGTGCTTCCTAATTCACCTCAGGTAAAGTTAAAGGAAGAAAAGTAAACAAGGATGATCTAAGCTTAATTCAGGTAACTTCATTTCAAGCAAACTAAGGAGTTTTGAACAATCTCAGCAGAAATTGTGAGGTGGTATTAACGTCTACCTGGTTAATAGGGGAAAGAAACAACCTTTAAGTTTTCCCATGGCAAAAATTCATAGTGGTTCACTGCTATTACCCATGTTATTCCTTGCAAATGGAAGGTACTTATTTGTGTGGGGGTTTTTGTTTGTTTTTTTAATGCTACTTTGGTGAATCTGCTGATTCCCTCAATGATGATCCCCATTCTCGGAGATACTGAAGATCCGCCTGGACAACCTGCTTTAAGTGACTCGGCTTGAGTAGGGAGGCTGAACAAGATGATTTCCAGTCACTCCCAATGTCAGTCACTGTGTGATGATGTTGCTCCCTCACTTGAAGCAATTAGCACCATTATTTAGGATGGCCTGATACTAGCTACTGGAAGATATGCAGACAGCTCAGAAGTTACCACAAGACTGCAGAAGGAAAAACACAGGTCCTCATATAAGTTTCCATGAGGTTGGCGTGCACCTTCTATATGGTACCAACATAAACTTTGAAATATTTTAAGAGGACTGAAGTGTTGCCAAACATCAAGACTTAAGCTAGTTACCCCACAATTTTAGAGAACTTCCAAGAACTAACCACTGTATTGTAGCCTGTATCTCTAAACTCTAGGTCTTCTTTTCAACCCCCCAGGTCTCACTTTTTGCGTATCTAATTGCTGGCAGGCCCTCTGGCTTTTTCGCAGGTCTCCTTCCATCTTACGTTCTTCTTGTTTGGTTTTGAATCTTACTCTGTTAAGAACAAGCAGAGGTAGATAAGCAGGAAGACACACAGTAACAGATGCATTACAGTCCACAGCTTTACGAAACCCGAAAATCTAAGATTCTATTCCTACTAATTTTCTCAGACCTGAACTACACTGAGGTTAAGAAGTCATTCTGACATTGTTTCTGTAGGAGCACACTTGTATTTCTTGGGAATTGTACCTTCAGGATACCTTTTTTGACCACACTACCCTGTTTCTTCATGAGGTTTTCCTAAGACATAAAGAAGTGGTTCACTAACTCATCTGCGAAAGATACAGCCTTTCCTAAGCTTCTCTTCTCCATATATTAAAAGCAAATTGGAAGAAAACCAAACCAATACAATCTTTTAAAAATTTAAAAGTAATTTTAAATTTTTTTACATTTAAAAATGTACCCTGACTTTTAAAACCATTGTACCAACATTGCTCAGGAATATCTGTGGATTTTATATTTCAAAATATATATTTCTCCAATTTAAAAAGCTGCATATGACTTGAGAAAAATTAGTATGTATATTGTTTACATTATTAACAATTACAAAACTAAATGGTGCAGCACATGCTTTTATCATTACAGTGTTTATCTACTTTTGCTTTAGAACTGACAAACAATTACTCTGTATTGTAACTCTCACCTTTCATTCAAAACATTCAAAAATAGTAGCACATTAAAAGAATAACCAAACTTCAAGTATAAAAAGAATTGCTATTTAGACATTGCTTGGAATATCAGCTGTATCATTTTACCTGAACTGATCTGCAGCTTGTTCATTTGCTTGTTTTTTCATATGGAGCTTTTGTCTATAGTTTTCCAGTTTTTCTTCAGCTTTTCGCTTTTTTAGTTCCTCATGACCAAGCCCACTTCTGCCTATATAAGTTCAAAAGGTGAATGTAAGCAGCTGAGAAGCTCTGATATCCAACTAAATATATCAGAAAGTGCCACAAACCTGTTTTTATGTTCAGAGGAATAGGTTCAACAATGCCCTCTCCTGTGAGAGAAAAAATAAGTCAATGTTAAAAAACCAAGTTTGTCTCAAACAATGATTTGTACAAAAGCAGGCAAGCTGCTTTTGCCATTATTGTGATTTCTTGCTTGGAAGTTGAAAGGTTCCCAATCAATATACATTTAGTACACTAAAAATGACACAGCTGTACTGGAAACACACTCTCTTTTTTGGCTTGTCTGCTGGAATCCTATGTACTTTTTTCATGACAGGACCAAACTGAATGAAATGTGGTGACGTGACAGGTGTAACATGCCTATGATGAAAACAGCTTTGTTACCGCCTTCTGGAGCATTTTCACTCTGCAATCTCATAACGATGATGAAGAACAAAAAGAATTTATCTGGGACAGTTCATTGTAATTGTCTTCCACAGACGCTGAACTGGCACAGCAGTTACTGATTCCTTGTTTTACTGATTTTACTTCATAAGGGTAGGCCAGTGTGCACTGTTTCTTTTTCAAAATCCAGCCATAAATTTCAAGAGGGTCTGATTTTTTTTTAACACTATTAGCTTTGCAAAACCATCGAAACATCCTTAATGCAACTCCTGTAAGTATACATGTATGCAAGTACATTTACTGAGCTGCAAGTGCTGCTCTTCCCTTGCATCTGTCAATAGTCTGTGCTATTTTCACTTCAGTTTTAGGGATCTGCTCTCATATTTTGTTCTGTCACAGCACCTTCACAGTTCTGTAATGCTATGTCTCTCCAAGAGGCACTTAGTGACCTGTCAACAAATGCAGTGAGAGCTGCAGACTATAAAATATTAAGGTATAGCTGAATACAAACACACACTTCCAGAGTGACAAACTTACCACTTTTGCCAAGGGCCTGGCCACTCTTGTAGCCCATCTTCTGGAGCAAAGCAAAGCCTTTGTTCTCATTGCCCAATGCACTTTTCAGTACCAAGTCACGTCTCTCTTTTTCTTCTTCTTTTATGCTTTTTTGTCTGTTCTTCTCATTGGCTTCCTTTTGCTTTTCTTCTTTCTGAATAGCTTCCTTCACCCGCCTCACCATGGGCAAGCCTGGCCTGACATCCTGTCTGCGAGTTAGTAAACCAGCAAACATTAGCGTTATATTTGTTTGTTTTAACAGGTTTACGATCATTTAAGAGGAGTGGAAAAAAAATGAACTACCTACTTACTTAATAAATAAATCAGACATATAGTCCTCCTCTTCATCTCCCTCCATGATTAGCACGCCTCTATGCCGACGCCTCGCCTATGGACAGCGTCAGTGCGCGTTACCGAGCATTATATTTCTCTGCGCGTCCCCTGCCAGGCGGGGGATGGAGGGGCCGAGGGACGAGAACACTGAACCCGCCGGGCCGGGCTGCCCGTGCGAGCCCCGGGCCACCCGCGCCCGCCTCCAAGCCCGCAGCGCGTCCTCCCGGGCCCCGCTACCACCGGCGGCCGCGACGCCGCTCCACGCCCGGGAGCCCCGCCGAGCTGCAGCCAAGCGCCAGGAGCCGGGAGAGCGGCGGGAGCAGCCCAGGCACGGCTGAGCTGCAGCCAAGCGCCAGGAGCCGGGAGAGCGGCGGGAGCAGCCCAGGCACGGCGCACGTCCCGGGCCCGGCCCGGCCGCTCCGCGGCGCCTGCGCGGGGCCGCCCCCGTTCGCCGGCGCCTGCGCCTCTCCCGCTTCCTGCTGCGCGGCCGCGGTGCGTCCGCGCTACCGGGCTGCGCCGGGGCCGGGCTGGGGGCAAAGCCGCTCGTCTCCCCTTTCAACGCCCCTCCACGCCCGCCGGACCTGGGCACGGCGGGGGCTGAAGCGGCCGAGCCCGCCAGTGATGGTGCCGCGGCCGGCGGCGAGCGCGGCGCAGCGCGCCCACGCCTGTCCGTGACTGTGAGCGGTCCCCGGGGCCGCGGTGTCGCGCCTGGTGCAGCCCGGAGCTGGCGGGACGCGGCCGCCGCACGGGAGGAGCGTAAGTGACGGTGAGCGGCCCGGCCCGGCCCGGCCCGGGGCTGCGGCGGAGCGGGGGCAGGGTCCGCGCTTCCCCGCGGCGTTGGCGGCGTGTGCGGGGCGGTGCGCGCGTGTGCGTGCGGGGCTGCGCGCTCGGGAGGCAGCGGGCACCGCTCCCTCGGCATCGAAACCTCAGCGGCGTCGCCCGAGCATCGTTCCCCGGCGCTGCACCTCGGCAGTACCCCCTGAGGGGTTTTCAGAAGCAGGCATGATGCCCTGAGAGCTGCTGCAGCTTATTAAAGTAGCCGATACAGGTAGGGGGACCCAGGCGCGAAAACCTTTTCGCCTGATGGAGTCATTCAGCAGTATGTGACTTCGCCTAAACTTGCCTGTTTCTCGGCTTTCTCACTCTACTGAAGTGCACGCGTGATGAAGATACAAATAGTTGATTTAGGCATAGGAAAGCAGATGCAGAGTAGAAAGGAGTTTTAGTACATCGGAGCGTTTTCTTACCTGTGTAATGCTCCACCATACCTCACTGGTTGCTGGTTGACTTTGATCGGCTTCGGCTCTGCATCCCGTGGGAGATCACAGTGTATTTATTTCTTGTAGCATTCACAGCAAGATCCTTACCAGCATCGGTAGAACTCGGTAGGCTTTGCATTCCTTTTTGGAGCAAACCTTTTGACAGTGTCATTGTGCTTTGGATTGTGTACTTAAGTAGCTCTGTGTCAGGCTGACTCTTCAGTTAGCTGAATATTTGTGTAATTGTTCTTGTGTCTGAAGCCTTGTGCTTCACCAGCACAGCTGAATGTATGTGCAGGTTTTGTTGCTTAGAGCCTGTATTTCCTACATTTTAGATTAAGAGGTATGGGAATGTGAGGAAGGTGCATTAGGTGTCCATGGCTCTTATGGCTAGGAGCAAATAAAACCTTTTATGTGGGGAGGAAAAGGAATAATGAGCTGTGCTGTCCAGCAGTACTTACGGTATTTACGTGTTGTGTGGGTGTGACAAGCAGTGAGGATCTCTGGGATGATATCCAAAGAATCACCACAGTGCCATCATTGGTTGCGTCTCTCTCTGCTTCGTGTAAAGGTGTTTTGAGGTGATATGTCGGACTTATTGACAGGCAATGCCTTCTCAGTTCTTTATAAATGTAAAGAAAAAACAAATAAACCAAAAAATGACAGAAAATGTCTTTGGAGGAGTTAGAGAGGTCTGTATGTGCTTCCATATGTGGCTTTTCCACCTTTGCTGGAACTGTACGCAGTGAAAATTACACAAAGTGCTGAAGTGCAGGGAACAGCCAATTAAAGACATTGTGATGCTTTAGTTTCATCAAGACCAAATCATTAAGGTGGATTTAGAACTACAGTACGGTATTAATATGTCACCTTACTAATGTCTCATTTGGGGACTGTTTAAAAAAAATCGCTTTAAGTCACTTCATTTGACTTCAAGAATTTGTTGAGTTTGGGCATGAATGAGGAAGCAGCTGTGAGCTCTTGAGAGCACAAGTGGAACAGTGCAGCTATCAAAAGATGATGTCTGTTGAAAGCTGATGTCTTACATAATACTCCAGTTGTTTTGCTTTCTCTGCTTTGCCCGAGATCCTAGTTTCAGCATCACTGAATTCAGGTTTTGGGGTTGTGTTGCTTTTCTGCTTTTAGGGTGTCTTTTTGCTGAAGGTGGTTGATTTGAGGTAAAATTTATGGATTTTTTTTCTTGTGTCAGCTTAGCATTGAATAGCTACACCTTTTTTCAGGTGGTTTGCTAAAATTGGCAGAAAGGTGGCAGAGTGTTTGCTTACCCTGATAATGTACACTTTTGTTAGTGCTTTGATGCCAGCCCCCATTGATTGAGCAGGATCAGCAGTGTTCCATCTGCAGGATTTTGCCTGCTGGGGAGACCTGCAGTAGTTTGGCTGCTGCTTGTGTTCTAGGCTGTCACCCCTAAGGCTTGCTGGATTTCAGGGAGCTTACTTGTCCAGCACTTAAGGCAAGGCTAGTGGGATCAGGGAAATCTTAGGTCAGTTATGCCAAATCCTATCACTGTTCCTGTTTCTCCCAAACTTGCGTTGGCTGGAAATTCCTACTTGGGGTAGGCTCATCTTCTCAGCTCGTCTGTTGAAGGGTGTTGAGAAGGGGGCCAAGTTCATGCCCCAGCTTTGGGAGTGTGCTCAAGGGTCTTGACTTGCAACAATCCTTTTTCTGCCCTGTAAGTGGAGACAGTGAGATGATTCCTTTACCTTCTTTAAACACAGACTTTGGCATATTTTTCTTGGCTGAGAGTTTGTACCCTGAAATTGCCTGTAGGTGCTCTTCTTACAATTAACAGCTCTGTTCCCTGAAATACTAATGAATGGACTTGGTTTGTAAATATGTGAGTAGTTTTTATGTGGTACTATTTGGCTAAGACAAGTCTAAGCAAACTGAATATTTTAATTTGATTTTCAAAGCTTTTACTGATGTACTGTACTTTATACTAATATTTGCATTTTTATTTTAGAGTTTCTACACAAATTTGCAATAAATTTGGAATTTAATCCAATATGGAGCTGGCTCATAGTTTGTTACTGAACGAGGAAGCATTAGCTCAAATCACAGAAGCAAAGAGACCGGTTTTTATTTTTGAATGGTTGAGATTCTTGGATAAAGTGCTGGTAGCTGCCAACAAGGTAATTTAATGAGTTTTTTTCCCCCCCCTCTTTCTAAAGAAACTTTCTTTTAAAAAACATTTGTATTAATTTCATGCCAGAGAAAGTTGTCAGGTAATGGCCAGATGGTACCTATATGGTTTCAGATTCAGCCTGAAGAGTCTCTGTGCTAATTTGTAAATTTTAAGTGTTTAATTGTAGGCGGTTAGTAAGTATTTTTAAAAAGTAAAAATTAAATAGGTCAGCAGCTAATTCTGAGCACTTAGCATCTGCCTCTGCTGTTGTTAATGTAGCTCATATCTCTCTGAGACAAGCAATTTGCTGAATTATGTACAGTTGGCAGTGGTATAAGGTTTACTTCGATTTCTTGTAGATTTTTCTGGGTATTAGAAGCAACACAGGATCAAACTACTTTTCTTATTTATTTTTGGTCTGTTAACAGACAGATGTCAAGGAAAAACAGAAGAAACTTGTAGAGCAGCTAACAGGACTCATCAGCAGTTCCCCTGGGCCACCCACACGGAAGCTGCTTGCAAAAAATCTTGCTGCTCTCTACAGCATTGGAGACACATTTACGGTTTTTCAGACGCTTGACAAGTGCAACGACATCATCAAGAGCAAAGATGATACTGCAGCCTACCTGCCCACAAAACTGTATGTTTTGGGAAAAGGGGAATGATTTTTAGGCCAAGTGGTCCTGGATATTACTCAAGAATCTGCCTATATATGTGCACACTATGTTTACTTACATTCTGTGTGCCTGTTTGGAGTTACATATGCTCGATACAGACAGCAGAGAAAAACGCTGGATTGAAATTGGGCAGGGCAGGACTCAAAGGTGACACAGATGGATCTATGTGAAAGTGAAATCATTTTCTCTAGGCAAGGTACTATGTTATGACTCTTTATGGCATGGAGAGGATAACAGTTAATGAAGGCATTCCACCAGTGGAATTGCTGCTGACTGTGCTCAGGTACCCCAGTAAAGGTGGAACCTGCAGATTGTCAAACCAGAGTCCTATCTGTGCCTAGTGAATTGTAACCAAATATTCAAGTTTTATTCCCATCAGATGTTGCCTTTTCTATTCCCCTAGCATGCTAAGCTGCACAGGTCTCTCAAGCAGTCTCTGCATGTGGGTACGTGTGCATGGATGTGTGATCCATTGTCTTTAGTCATGGGAGCTGTCCCATTGGTAGGAATTTGGTTAATGCCACAGACAACTTTCACTGAAACTGTTTTTGGTACTTTCCCATGTACTGCTTCGTAAGTTCACGGTGTGTGGTGAATCCAAATTTGGTCTGGCCTTCAGATATTTGACAATAGGATTTGGCAATAAAATCTGAAATAGTCACTGCTTGGGCAGATACTGTCCTCTTATTTCTAGCTCTTGCAGCTGTGTGAGGAACTTGTATAAGTGGGAAGTGTTTTCTGCTATAATATGCTCTGAAATTTATGCTACCAAGTCATAGTCCAGAAGGTTTTTTAATGGACGCATGCCCATTAAAGGGGAGGCTGTAATGAGTTTGTGATGTAACTTCACTAAAAAAACATTTAGCCAGCAAATACAGATTTTTAAAAAAAACCTCATTCCTTTGTGATGAAAAAGTGCATGTTTTCAGGAGCTGGCTTCTGTGACTGTTCTGGAACAGTTTGTGTATATAACTGCAATGTGGTGATAGCTAAATATTCCTAATCTCAAATGGCAGAGGAAGAAAAACATGTAAATAACTGTTTATGGGTCCAGAGAGATTTTACAGTGCCTGTAAATTTTCTTGTGTTATGCAATAGTTTCTGCATTTTAG